GAGCGTGTGGAGGCTTCCTCACAGCCCTTTCGCTCTAGGCCCACCTTGGGTTGCCTCACGGGCAGCGGCGGCGAGGGCTCTGGCGTGGCTCGTCGTCATGACAACCACAACACATCTCGAGCATGTGCGCCCGCTCTCAGAGTGTTTCTCGGAGTGGCAGCGCGTGTGTCTGATGGACAGATGGATGAGCAGGCTGATCAGCAGAGGGTACACCCTGCAGTTCGCCTCCCCCCCCCCACAGTTCAACGGGATACAGGAGACACGCCTGTCATCCCGAGAACAGTGTCGGGCGCTCCAAGCAGAACTACGGGAACTCCTGTTGAAAGAGGCTATTTCCAGGGTTCCCTAAGGGGAAGAAAATCAGGGGTATTACTCCCGCTACTTTCTTATCCCGAAAAAGACGGGGGGAATGAGACCCATCCTCGATCTGTCAGCTTTCAACGAGGCAATAATGAAAAGGCCTTTTCACATGCTGACGGTCAAAAGGGTGCTAGAGTGTGTTCACCAGGGAGACTGGTTCACCTCTATAGACCTAAAGGATGCATACTTCCACGTACCCATCATCCCACAACACAGGAAATTCCTGCGGTTTTCATTCCAGGGAATATCGTACCAGTACAACCGTCTGCCGTTCGGTTATTCCCTGGCTCCTCGCACCTTTTCAAAGTGTGTAGAGACGGCATTGCAGCCGCTACACAGAGGAGGGATGAGAGTACTGTTTTACCTGGACGACCTGCTGCTGATGGCTCGCTCCAGGGAGGAAGTGGCTTTACAGACGGTACAACTCATATCGCATCTGTCAAAGCTGGGTTTCATGATAAACTGGAAAAAGAGCTGTCCTCTTCCCTCCCAGAGTATTGTTTACCTGGGTGTGGAATTGAACTCAGCCCGCATGAGAGCGCGACTCTCACGGCAGAGAGTGGAGGCACTGACAGCTCTCCTTCGACGCGTCACACCCCGCAGCGTGGTGACAGCCCTCTCCGTGATGCGGCTGCTCGGCATGATGGCAGCCGACCACGGGGTGATTCCCCTGGGTCTCCTTCACATGAGAAGACTCCAGAGGTGGTTTATTCGCCTACGCATCGACCCCGTGCGACAGAGGAGGCGCATGGTGGTCATCCCTCTGTCCGTGGGTTCAGACTTAACCTATTGGAAAAGTCCCCACGTCCTGTCAGAGGGTGTGGCCCTGGGCAGAGTTACGTCACACATCTCGGTGTTCACAGACGCATCTCTCTCAGGGTGGGGAGGAACGTGCATGTCGCAGGCAGTGGGGGGACAGTGGCCGGCTCACATGTCCTTCCACATAAACGTGCTGGAATTGCTCTCCGTACGGAGAGTAATTCAGCATTTTGCCTCGTTGCTGCAGAATCAGCATGTGTTGATTCGCACAGACAACAGAGCCGCGGCAGCCTACATCAATCGCCAGGGCGGGGTACGCTCAGCGCAGCTTCTGAACACAGCCAGACGGCTGTTGATCTGGGCGCGCGCACACCTGCTCTCCATCAGAGCACTGTATGTGCCCGGCGAATTGAACAAAGGGGCAGACCTCATGTCCAGAGGAGGTCCTCGCCAGGAGGACTGGAGCCTACATCCCGAGCTGATCGCCCAGGTTTGGAGCCGGTTCGGGAGGGCGGAGGCGGATCTGTTCGCCGCACGCGGGAACGCGCAATGCGCCCTCTGGTTCTCCCTGTCAGCACGGGACCTCCCCCCCCCTGGGGGTGGACGCGTTCGCACATCGTCCATGGCCCAGGGGACTGCTGTACGCTTTCCCACCAGTCCCGCTGATTCCTCGGTTCCTGGACCGAGTGCAGGAGGAGCGGCTGTCAGTGATCCTAATTGCCCCGGAGCGCACGGGCGCTTCCTGGTTTCCATGCCTACAGCGTACGCTGTCAGGCAGGCCGTGGGAAATTCCGTGGCGCGGGGACGCTCTCTCACAGGTGGAGGGAGCGATCTACAGTCACCCAGTGATAGGCCAGCGCTTATGGGCATGGCCCCTGAACGGGAACACTTAGAGAGGTTGGGTCTCTCTCAAGATGTTGTACGCACCATTCAGGGAGCCAGGGCCGCGTCTACCAGAGCGTCCTACACAGCCAAGTGGGCAGCGTTCCAGCGTTGGTGTGTAGAAAGAAGCCTGGACCCCACTACGTGCCCCCTGCCTCACGTGCTGTCATTCCTCCAGCTGTTGTTGGACAGGAATTTGGCTTTCAGCACAATCAAGGTATATGCGGCTGCCATATCATCTTGTCACGTGGGTTTCGGAGCCGGGACGTTGTTCAGTCACCCCCTGACGCAACGTTTTCTGCAAGGGGTACGAAGACTCAGACCGGTATCACGCGCACTGGCGCCTCAGTGGGATCTGGCTTTGGTGTTACGAGCACTAAGCAAAGCCCCATTTGAACCTTTAGAGCAGGTTCCCCTTAAAATGTTGTCAGCCAAAGTAGTACTGCTTTTGGCTCTAACATCAGCAAAAAGGGTGAGTGATTTATCCGCTCTCTCTGTGGCCCCGTCATGCCTCCGGATCCAAGGAGATGGCAGTTCGGCTGTGCTACGTCCTAACCCAGCCTTTATGCCTTTATGCCAAAGGTCATCACAAGCTCTTTTAGGTCAAGAGTGATCACCCTGGATGGGTTTTTTCCGCCTCCTCATAAATCGGAGGAAGAAGCCACATCTCATCTCCTCTGCCCGGTGCGCGCGCTGTCCTGCTATGTGGCGCGCACGGCGGCCTGGCGCCGTTCTCAGCGCCTGTTTGTGCACTATAGAGAGCGCTCGATCGGGCAACCTCTGTCTGCACAACGGCTGTCACACTGGCTGTGTGAGGCTGTGTCACAGGCATATGTCTCCTCTGGGGTGGAGCCCCCGGAGAACATCAATGCGCACTCCACCAGAGGAATTTCCTCCTCCACGGCTTTGCACGGAGGAATGTCAGTGGAAGATATTTGCACGGCTGCATCTTGGTCTTCCCCCTGTTCATTTATTCATTTTTATTTGAGGGATGTCTCCCATTCCTCTCTGACACACCCTGTACTGGGTGTCCTGTCGGAGTGAGTGACGTCAGGGAGCCAGCTGTGCGCCTCTCTCCTGCCTTTTGGCACGCGGAGAGCGGCCCATTTCCCCTCTTATAGGAGGGATGTTCCTTTTTCCTCTAACA